AGTCATTGAGTAGTTACGTATGCCATTGATGAAATAAGTTGTAGATATGTGGGTCATTAGGTGAATTGATCGAAAGAAGAGTAATTATGTAAGTAGTGGTTTAATTTATGTTAGGCCGTTATAGTCAAATGAACTTGTAACGGAGTGCCTTGGTAATAAAGTAAATGAGTAAATCCATATTTAAATAAATAGATTAGTAGTTAAGTTAGTCATTAGTGAATTAATTTTAGTGAATTAATTTAACTAAATCAGTATATCAGTAATTAAGTAAAAATTCCTGTGTTACTAGCTGACAGGGTAAATGGGTCATTAATTTACTAGGTATGTAATTCTGTCATTATGTAAATCAGTCTTTTCGTAGGTAAGAAGAATTAACGTGCGAATCTGCCGATAATTGAGTATGGCAGTAATCACTTTTAGAAGTCGTCAGGGTCTGCTCGTGCTATCTGTTGCTAAGTGACCGAGGTTTGTCGAAGTTGAACTGCGTTTTTTGAAAATGTCGTCAGTTCGTGTAACTGCTTGGGAATTTGATGAATCATGAATATAAGCGAGAAAAAGCCAGGGTTTTAAAATTGGTGCATCAGAAATTGTTTTGTACTTTAAGATTTGTCGAAGGAGTTTCAGAAATTCGTAGAAATTATCAAATATTCAGTCCAAGGCAAAGACTTCAGAAGATTTTAATTTTGGAAAGGAATAATGTTCATCGAAAGGTTGATTTGACTTTGTTTGTCACTTATTCCCCTGTTACTGTTGTTGTCGTGACCGACACTTAGAGCTTGAACAACTGATTGATCCAGAATGATGATGTCTAGCCTTTTTGAAATTGCTTCTAATTGATATTATGTCCATATTTTTATGAATAAACATTTTTCTTGGTGCTCTTGTTGGGATTGTTTCGTAGCTCGTTTCCTTGATGTATTTACCTCTTTATGAACTCTTATGTATACCTATTTATTGGAACTGAAGAATCGTTGAGAAGCAATGGTAGAGGAGTTATTGAAGAAAGAACTTGCCACTTATACTCTTACTTCATATGGTGTACCGGGAGGCGGGTGCATTAACCAAGGCCACGGTTATATGACCGACGCAGGACCGGTGTTCGTGAAACGCAATTCCAAGGAAGAGGTAGAGCCAGATATTGCCTGAGTTGCCACTTATGCTTCATACTTCCTCTGAAGGCAAAACAGATGTTCGATGGTGAATATGCGTCGTTGGCGAAACTTTATGCAACGAATACCGTACCCGTTCCAAAACCAATAAAGGTACTTAAGTTTAAGGCATATACCGTTTTTTTTGACGTTTTCACTTTTTTCCACTAGGTGATTGATAATCCAGCTGGCGGGGCGCTGTTTGTCGCCGAGTACATCGAACTGCATGGTCTTTCACGATTTTCAGCGGAGTTGGGACGTCAGTTGGCCAGGTAACAGCCTTCAACCTTGGTGTAATGTCGATTGGCATTTAAGGGGTTAGTTTTCTTTAACCTGCTTTTCTTATAACTCATATTTCGTTAATTTTCCAGTGAAACAAAGTTCCACAACTCCTATAACATCTTGGAATTTAACCTTTGCTGTTTAAAAGCGGCACCATAGCAAAAGTTCATCAGTCGATACAGTTTTGCAGAAAGCTAGCCGAGTGGCACAATTTGTCCACTGACAGCTTTTAATTTAAGATTTTCCATCTTGCTCAATGTTCAGAACGGGGACCCTCACTATACAAACAACTCCATCGCGTTTTTGGTTCTCAGCTGTTCTGTATATGGATACCGACTTTGATCCTAAGGTATTTTGTCCAAATGCATCTGCCTGTAAGCTGTGTATAAAATCGTATGATTTGCACAATCCGAGTCTGTCGACTGACAAACCATTAGAGGTCGTCAGGACGACAAGTTTTGACTGTTGACTGTTGAAAATGATATAAGTCACGACTACTACTTCTTCATTCAGGAGCTTACCGTACATTTAATGAAGCTAGTAAATCGAAATAAATCTCACATTGTGCTGAATATTACACTAGTTAATCACTTAGTAGTTTTGTCAAAGCGAATTGCAACAATAAACGGTGACGTTCGTATCAGAAAAGATGGTCGTACATCTCATTTGTTCTGGCGCGACCAGGCCAGAAACCATGCTCATCCTATGATTCACAGGTCAACTACTTACAGTTTGTTTCTCTGCTGATTGCACTGAAGCAGCATGGAGTCAATTCGTTTTGTTTAAGTGAGTTCGTGATAAAGAAATTGTTTATCTTTTTAGCCGATTCGAACGCTGTATCTCCGGAATTCAAGGCTGACTTCTTTGTGCCTTGTGCTACCATGACCAGGATTTTTTTTAGAGAAACGGTAACAGCTGTCTAAACTCAGTAATATCAAACCTGCTATAAACTTGAGTAGCGTCAAACTTTCTAACGATCAGATAACTGTTTTCAATTGAGTTTAAACCTCGGTGTTACTAATAATGCGGCGTCTTCTCTGTTTGAAGAAATACAGATCTTCTGGAAATTCATAACACCTTAACTGCAAACGTTATAGAATCTTGAAACTGCATAAACTTTTGACATTTAATCTAATGTAACTCAACAGAATTTGAACCTTTGAAGCCCAATAAGAAAAGAGAAGGTCACAATTATTGAAAGGCTACTCATAAGCAAAGCAGCGTTAATTACGAAAAGATTAAACTACCAGTAAATGCTTCCAAATTCTCAGGTTTTCCAGCATCCTCTTCAGTATCCATCCTATTTTTTCTTTGCCAGCAGGCTGCAAACATTTCTACAGGGTATTGCCGCTACCTGGCCCAAGAGTTCATTCATTTTAAAGGAAACTTCTTAAGTTGGTTTGTAAGCATCTGGCATTTTTCTTTTGCACCCTACTTAAATTTTAACAACTTGATCAGGTCCCATGAGGTCTGTTGTCTCTATATTAAGTGTATTTTCCTCTAGGTTCGAGGACTGACCGTCGAAAATAATAGGAAGTAACCCACCATTCACCACCTGTTCCCACGAGTTCATGAGGAACAGAGTTTGATGTAGCCCATTGCAAGCGCCAGTCGTACAGTTCTGTCGCTAATGATATGTTTGGCAGAATTCTCATAGACGATGCTATTGAAATTGTTAGTCTTCTTCATCTTCATCTTCCATCCCCGCTTCTCCTTTCGGGTCGCGCACG